CTGGTGCGCGGCCACCGCCGGCGCCTGCTGCGCCGCCTCAGCCCGTCGCACAGCATGGCACAGTGCCTTCGCGATTTGGTGGCCATGCAGTGGGCCGATGCGTCCGGAGAGGTAGCGCCCGATGGCCCCAATGGTGGGGACCTTTGGCCGGGGGGTGAGCCTGGGAGGGAAGTCCGGGTGGAGAACGGGGACTGCGGAGGGGCCCCGAAGGAAGGGAGCGCTTGGAGAGGCGCCCAGTTGGACAAAGAGTGGGCCAGAGAACCCGAGACCAGAAACCGGGGAGGCGCGCAGTTAGAAAGTGAGAACGGGAGAGGCCTGCAAATCCGGTACTGGAGAGGGGTCCAGCTGGAGAACCGGAAGATGCGAGGGCTGGTGGGGCGTGGCTGGAGGGGGGCCTCGCCAGAGGACGAGCACCTCGAAGGGCCGGACATCAGAGACTGGAGCGGGGCCCCGCCGGAAGGGGAGAGAGGCTGGGGGCTGGAGGGCTACCTCTGGAGGATGAGGGTGCTGGAGGCCGCAGAGCGGAGGACCCAGGTCGGGTGTGAGAGGCCCCGGAGCCTTGAAGGGAGCACCTGCAGCGGGGCCCAGTTGCACGACGAAAGGACCAGTGGGCTGAAAACCAGAGACCGGAAGGGGCCTCCGGTGGAAGCGGAGAAGGGAGAGGGGCTGGAGGTTAGGGACTGCAGGGGGGTCCGTTTCGAGACGCCCCTGGAGTCGGTCTCCGAGAACGGAGACCAAAGGGGTCCCCAGTGGGGAGACGAGAGGCAGAGAGAGCCAGAAATTGGAGAAGAAGGAGGACTGAGGTCGGGAGTCAAAAGAAGAAGGGACCTGGAAGATGTGGTTCTGGTCCGGCTAGGGGACACAAGGGGGACAGGCCTGGAGAATGGAGACGGAGGGGGAGCGCGGCTTAGGGGCCCCAAGACCAGAAGAGTGCGAGGGAGGGAGTGCGTGGACACGGGAGGGAGGTGTCTAGGGCTGGGGAATGGAGTCATGAGTGGCGCCCCCGTGGGAACTGTGCTTGAGGATGACCCAGAATGGCCAGTGACAAGGAGAGTGTCCCTGGCCACAGGGGACAGCCTACAGGATGGAGGTGAAGCAGACGGCCCGAAGGAACCAAGGAGGCCTCGCCGCCCCTTGGGAGAGAAGGAGGTGGACTGGGAGCCCCTGGCCAAGTTCCGAGCGGCCTGCGGGCCAGAGCTGGCAGGCCTGGTGGCCGAGGAGCTCGCTTTCGCCAGGCAGCACGGGACCCGGGGTTTCCACACGACCGGAGCCGGCTTCGCCCTGAAGGACGGCTCCTCGGACTTCTTCCTGGACGGGGCCCTGACGCGCTGCAGCTGCTCCATCCACGCCGCGCGACACCTGCCCTGCCGTCACCTGTTCGCAGCGCGCCTGCTCACCGGAGCGGCCTTGTTCCACGCGGACCTGCTCCGGGACTGCTGGGGGAGCGCCCCAGAGTCCTGACCCTCCGGCCCCTGCCCACCGCCCTCTACTGCGAGGGCGGCAGGGCAACTGTGATCCCAAAGATAGAAAGGCCGAGGCCAAGGAGGCCACCTCCTGGGTCACCGCATCTGGGCTATTTGCCCGTCTGGGTCCGAGGGAAGTTGACGGTGGTCTCTGAGGTCCTGGAGCCACAGGTGTGGAAGATGGCGGTGGCCAGGGTGGCAGCTGAGGGCTGCCTCAGAATATGAGGAAGACGTATAGACAGGAGGACAGATGAAGGAGCGGTAAGGAGGGGGAGAGAGAGAGAGAGGAGACAGAGATGGAGGAGGGCGGGCAAGAATGGAGAGAGCAGAGGGAGGCAGGAGAGGAGGGGGTGGGGGAAGGGTAGAAGGAGACACAACAAAGGAAGCTGTGAGCCATGTGGGGAGCAGAAAAGAGAGGGGAGCGATTTGGGTAGTCTCCAAGGGCTGGAGGCGTGATCCCCTTCACCTTCTGACTGGCCATCCCAGGAAGAGACAGAAGAGGGAGAGCTGGGAGTCTTCGAACGGGCTGGGCCGGGGGCTCTCCAGCAGCGGACGGGAGCCACCTGGACTATTGTGCTTCAAGATAGGAATAAAACGGTATCGTTTCGGTTCCCGTGCTGAGTTCTTGGCTTCTGGGGAAGGGTCAGAGGCCCAGACCTGGAGGGAAATTGAGAGGGTCCTGCATTTCTTCTCTTTCAACAAGGCCTCCAGGGCTCAGATGGAACGAAGGGGCCAAAAATGAATCCATCTCCATGGCAACTCAGGCTTCATCCCCCATGATCCTTGAACCTCTACATGCCCCAGATCTGTCCCTTCAGGCCTCTGCTCAAATGTCACCTCCTAAGGCCCATCTCTGGACCATCTATTTAAAGAGTACCCGCGTTCTCTTTCTGGGCACTATTCTTTACAACGCTTAACCACCACCTGAAACTATATCCTGTAGTTAGTTTAGCACAGTGGTTAAACTTAAGAGTATGAAGCCACACTCTCGGTTCAAATCCCAGCGCTACTTGCTATGTGACCTGAACGAGTGTGTGTGCCACTGGCCTAACTTTCCAATTCCCCCAAAGCATCTCAGTTACCTGTTAACATACCGTTGTCTCCAATAATCTGTATTCACCGTTTTTAGTAAGTCAATCTGCCCCCACCAAAATAGAAACTCTTTTGTTTCTGATCGCTTCTCCAGTACCTCGAACAGTGCTTGGTGCAAAGTAAGCGCTGAGTGAGAAAGATAAAAGAATGAAAACGGCAGCCTGGCTAGTAAAGCTGGTGCTTCATTATATGTCATCGTTGCTATGGTGACCATCGAATCAGCCCGAAGATTGCCAGCTTCAGTAACCTTGTTCCTAACGTCACCCGGCTCACCCATTGGCCACCTGTATCTCTGGCTGTAGCAGCCAGAAAACTACAACTCCCAGCAGGCTGAGCGCCGCCCGCGCGCTCCCGCTAAGTCGGGCGCCTGCGCAGTAGGATCTGCTGGCCTGGCGCTCCATCTGAGCGCTTAGAGTGGGCATCAGGAATGGGAGAACCCTTTGCTCGCTGAGCGTCGTAGGGACCCCTCGTCTCTCCCGGCTCTCCCGGCCGGCGGGGTCTGGGTTCCTGGGCTGCCATCTTGGAGTGAGGGGAGCGGATGAGACCTCTCCAGTTTCCATGGCGACCGGCCGGGCCACTAGCGCCGAGAGGATTGCTGCAGGCGGAGAAAGCCAAAGGGGGCGTTGCCATGGTAACCCTGGAGCCTAAGGGGGCGAGGGTAAGAGCAAAGGGTTGAGGGATCTCGTGGGAGGGATTGGAGTAACAGCTGGGAAAATGGGGTGCTCGTGGAGGAATGGAGAGCGTGATGGAGGAATCGGTCTGAGATAAAGGGAGTTAGGGTGATACCGGGGGAATAAGGGTGCTTTGAAGGAGCGGGAGCGCTTCGATGAATTCGTATGTGATAAGGGGATTTGGAGAGGTCTTTGGAGAAATCGGTGCGCTAGGAGGTAACGGGGATGCTTTGGGGGAAGCGGAAATGCAGTGGGGAAAATTAGGATGTTAAACACATGCATCATTCAGAAGTTATCGGCAGAGCTCCTATTTAATGTGCCAAGCACGACTAGATCTGAGGTATATTTACAGTGGTGAACGGGACAGACCGTAACTCTAGGGGGGGTTGGGGTTTGACTATAGAGGAGTTAGATTATTATAGGAAAAGGAGGATATTGTCCTCCATGACAGAAACAGGCAATTGAGAAGAACTTGAGCTTTAAGGAGAAGTCGGAGGGAATTGGGGCATTCTATAAGTTAATTCTGGCACTACTTTAGAAGACCAACCAAGTGCCTCTGGCAAGCCCTGAGGATTCCTTGGTGAGCAAAGTCAACATCATGGGTGAGGATGCCAGATTTAGGGGGAAAGCAACCAGTTAAATTCGAATTTCACGACGCATACTATTTTACTTATTCGTTGTTTATCTGAAATTCAAATTCGAGTAGGCATCCCGTATTTTTACCTGGGAAGCCCAATTTGGCGGAATTGGGGTGTTGGGAAAGAATGGCTTATTATAGGGGTCGTGGGATGTTATAGAGTCATTGGCTTGTAGGAAGCAGAGCTGGGGATGATCTGGAAAAGTGGGAGTGTTGACACCATACTAAGATCATCACTTACTGTGTGCCTGGGGCTATGCTAAGTGCTTTTGTTTCGAAAAGCTTTTTATTCTGGAAAATTTTGAGCCTATTCAATAGTAGAGTAGAATGTATCACGAGCTACTTCACCATCTCTGCTTATATAAAAAGCACCATATTGAAGCATCGCCACGCCCCAATACGGTAGCGATCGCTGTTATCCCCCCACTTTCCAGATGAGGACACTGAGGTTAAATAACTTGACCAAAATCACACACCAGAAGTGGTGTGACGCGGACCCTGCAGTCAGGCCCTGGAGTCTGCCATGTAGCACGTGAGTTCCCTTTGGGAAATTTAGAGTAGGGAGTAGGACGTGATGGGAGCGACAAGTGGGTCGCACAGAGTAAAAGGAAAAAGAGAATCAGGCTGTTTGGGGGTTGTGCAGTTGTTACGAGTTTTGTTATAAAGGTGAGTGGAGCCTGCAAGGAGCACTGGGTTGTTCGGGGAGAACTGGGGAGTTATAGGAAGAGTTCGGTGTTTTGAGGTGTCGTGGGAAGTTTTCTAGGTGTGTTGTCCAATACAGTATCAGCAAGCCACATGTGGCTAAATTAATTAAAATTAAATACAATTAAAAATTCAGTTCCTCGGTTGCACTCACATCATTTCAGGTATTCGGTGGCCCCTCTGTGTCGGATGGTGGAGACCGAGAGCATTTCCATCACCTGTCTGTCCACGCTGATGGAGAGGATGAACTGGGATGTCACAGCAAGCGTGGAATGTCCTGGTTCCTAACTGTCCCGCAGCATCTCATCACTTGACCTCACCTGCAGTGGGCTCCACCCTGTTCCCCAAAAAGGACCAGCTTGATCCAAGTCTCCGCCGAGCTGTTCTCTCCGCCTGCAATGCCCATCCAGCCCTTTGCACGCCCGGCTTTAAATGTCACGTCACCTCCAGGGAGGATTCCCTCGACTGCCATATTCAAAATTGCCACCATCCGCTTTCCACCACCAGCCACGGTCCCGTCCCCCTGTGTTATTTCTTTCAGAAAACTGACCAGTATCTAAAATGATCTTGCTCCTTGATCATTTACCTTTCAATTCTTCCCCACTAGAGGGAGACCTTGCCCTCTTCACCGCGGAAAATCACGGAGCACAGCAGTGCGCCGGGCGCGGAGGAGACACTGTGTGAATGACCCTGATTAAATGAATAGGGGCTCTTCAGAGTAAAAGCAATATTACGGGGGGAGGTGGGGGTGTCAGAGAGTCATAGGGGAGCTGGGGGGACATCGAGGAATCGATACCAGGAATTTCGGTGATAAAGAAGGAACTGGGGCACAAAGAGGTAAGGAGGGACATCGGAAAATATTTAAATGAGGGGGTGGTATTTGCAGGATGTGCTATTTGCAGGATTATTAAACTCCCAGTGCCTCTGTTTCCTCATCTATAAAATAATAGTATCATCTGATAAATTTGAGAGTTAACTGAGGTAGCACACGGGTGTGTTTAGAAGACTACTTATCATCAAAATAATCTCTAAAGTTAAAGCGGGAGTTGGGGATACAGAGGGTCCTGCCTCCTTGCCCCAGACAGAGGTTTTAGATTTCAGGCATGCCCAGTCAGAATTACTGGACTGATAGCGATGGCTTGAAACACACTCAGGAGGGAGGTAGTACAGACGGAAAGACCCCAGGTAACTCTGTACGTGAACATCGGTGCTTTACGACATTGTCCAGAAAATGTCTGACTCCGAAGGATAACATGGTATCTGGTATCAACTTGAATTTGATGGTCAAGACATCGACCAATGTCGGGTGTATGAAAATCAGATCTATGGGCTTTTCCAGGCGAGACCGAGTTAAGAAGGCGTACATACGTAACGTGAAGAGCAATGAGTTCCCCATGAGCCCAACACACAAATTTGAGCAATGGAGAAAAACCCCCAAATGGCATCGTTTGGAAACATTAATCTTACTGTTGTTTTAATTAGGTCAACCAGGTTTCAAATGAAACAAAATAGATCCTACCGTGAGGTTGTAAATAATAGAGCCTATAGATAAATATAACGATTGACAGTCCAGTGTGAGGAGAGGAGTTTTATTTTATTTTTCCTAAATATAACGATTGACAGTCCAGTGTGAGGAGAGGGGTTTTATTTTATTTTTTCCCCCGCCTACAGCACCTGGTCTTCCCAAGTGGTCTCCCATCCAAGTACTAACCCGGCCCGCCCCTGCTTAGCTTCCAAGATCAGACGAGATCCGGCACGTTCAGGGTGGCATGGCCATACGCAAGGAGAGTGTTTAAATGTTCGACTCTCCTGTACGTCAGGCTGAGATGTGTCACTTCCAGAGTCTGGATTCCAGGAACTCTTGAGTACCTTAGAGTACAGAATTAGATGGATAAAGAAGGTAGGATTCAAATTTCTAAGTCAAATGGAAAAAAAATAAAAAGAAATAAGTGACACCGGAAAAGGAACAGCAAATTAATCCTTAAAAAAAAAAATAAATGGAATCGATACAGGTAAAGCACAAATGAACAGGTGAAGCCCTGGTATGAAAAGGGAAAAGAAAATCAAAAGTCAGTTCCTTCAAAAAATAATTAAATTAACAAACCTATGTGAGGTGGCATCACCCCCTCCCCAAAGGGATGCACAAATAATATCAGGATTAAAAAAGTTTAAGGGACAAGAGTGGAGAAGTTATAAACATTAGAACATAACATGATATAATGGTTAAGTTTGCCAACAAATATGGAAATTTAGGAGATATGGGGGAAATTTTCTAGAAGACTTAATTTACCAAAAAAGAAAGAAAAAGAAAAAAATGAAAAGAAATAATAGAAAGCCATAAATGTGCAAGGCTCCTCATGATGAAATTGAACACTGGGCAAAAATCGTTCCTTCAGGAAATTCAAAGTATGCTTTAATGGTGACGTATGGCAAACACACCAGATACAAATAATAGCTACAGATATTCCCCAGAGATAGAAAAAAAGAAACATTCCATTAATCACATTATG